AATGGGATTGGGGGGCACGAGTGGGGGGGCTGGGAGGCCCCCTGGGAGCCGGGACCCCCCCCGGGACAGGTATGGGGGGGAATGGAGGGGGCTGGGAAGGGACTGGGGGCAATGGGGAGCTGGGGGGGGTCGTGGGTGGTGGAGGGCCGTGGGACTGGGGGTGGTGGGGGGCTGTGGGCAAGGTGGGGGTGATGTGGGGGCCGGACTGGGGGGGCTGCGGGTGGGGTCGGCTGGTTTTGGGGCTGGGGGGGCTCTGGCCGGAGAGGAGTAGGGGGGAACACACGACCCCGGGGGCTGGTTCTGGGGGTCGGGGTGGGACTGGGGAGGGGGAGAACAGGGTGGGGGGCAGGATGGGAGATGGGCTGGGGTCCCCTGGGCAAGGGGGTGGGCACGGCTGGGGCTTGTGGCACCCCTCAGGGCTCCCCCCCCCAATTTTTGCAGGGGGACGAGCCCAGCGAGAGTCTGGTCCTGCACAAAGGCACGCCAGGTACCCCAAACCCCCCCACCCCAAACCCCCCCGAACCCCCCCGGGCTCCCCGAGCTCACTCTCCTCTCCTCTCCTCTCCCCCCAGGCTTCGCCCTCCTGCTGGCCCGTGACACCCCCCACCCCCCGCTGCTGGGGGGTCCCAGCCCCCTCACCGCGCCCCCCGCCCCCCCCCCCCCCCCCCCAGCACAGCCTCCAACCCTCCACTTGCACCCCAATGAGCAGCTTGGGGAGGGGGCAGCACCCCCAGCCCCCCATGGGGTGGGGGGGCACGGACCCCCCCGCGGGCACAGGGACACCCCCCCCCAATCACACACAGCAGCTGTTAAATAAATTTTAATGCAAATTATTAATGCACATTATTAATGAGGGGTCTGTCCTGCCGGGGGGGGGCTGCCCCCCCCCAGGTTAGAGGTGAGGGAAAGCAGAGCTGGGGGGGAGCTCCTTGTGCCCCCCCCCCGGGTTAGACCCTGAGCACCCACCCTGGGGGGACCCCTGCACCCACCCCGCGGTGGGGGGGTCCCCAGCACCCACCCTGGGGGGGGGGGG